AATCTAGCGCCATTGTTAGGGCTGCTGTTCCGCCGCGGACCCGAGATTACATTCTGTGTACATCCAACAGCGAAGTCTTTACTAGGAAACTTCGCGGGTAGGGGAATGAACCAGTGAGGTAAAAGTGTAAAGCAATCAACCACGGCATGGTCGGGAACTGAGAACCTGGTAGGGAGCGACGGAGTGAAAAAATCCAGCCATCAGTAATACTCGACTTGACAATGTTGATAACAGGATGCCGAAAGAGGGCCACGCTTGAATTTTGAAGCATGCAACTCTGTTAATGTCGTAACTTCTCTCATCACTGTCATTTATCATCATAGCTTTTCACTTATGCTGCTGCCGAGATTCTTGGTATTGTTTATTAACAATGATATTGTTATTAGCAGTGGCGTATACGAATATCGTCAATTTATTAGCGATTCTGCTCCCTCGTCTGACCGCCTGGCTTAATTCTCTTCCTTGTCATCGTCGTCTCCTTGAGTGCGTCTCCTTGTGCAACTGACAGACTCGATAATCGAAGGTTATCGCCAAGGGCAGTGAATTACTCTATCTACTATGTTCTGTGTTATTAGCTTTGTCACAAAAATGCAGGATAATCCCTTACACCAAGGAAAGGCCAGGCGAGATGACACCGGCAAGGGGTCTGCAACCTACAGGCCCCTTGGGTGACAGGCGCTTCATTTGCGGCTTCAGCCAAAGCAGGCCAAACTAGTGGTAGGGACAACAGCGGGAGCCAAGGCAGAACAAGTGGCAAAGACACCGGTATTTAGAGTAGGATGAGGCACCGATATCAATGGACCGACCGATGACACTGAAATCGTATTGGTACCATTTGTTCGATGAAGTGCTAAAAAGCGCCTGGCCGTATTTAACTGAGAGTTTTTCCTTTGCGACAACAGCACGAGCAGCAACGGCCTAGGGATGGCTGTTGCTACCGCCTAACTGAGTGCATGGGCGCCTTACTATTGTGAGAAAGTAAGGAAAAGCTAGGTGTTTAGGAAACTGACGAGCCTTTGTTACCATTTGGGTGGGGCCAACGAGACAACAATGAGCCTGTGAGCTGAAACAAGATAAGTCGAACAAACCTGGCATAGAGAAGAAGCAGCAGTTGCCGGGCGAGTGGACAGATAGTGAGCGGCAAGTATATCACAAAAGCCATAATACACGCCCGTGTCACAAGCCCGTTTTCCGTAAACCTTGCTTTGTACATTAGCATGGATGAAGTGAATGCATTTGTTCGTGTTAAGATATGGCCGTACGTACGAGACAGGACGTCAACTAGCTAGAGCAGCTTACGCTGCTAACACCGATTGCAGCTACAGCGGCAACCTGAACGATATCGATGAAAAACGAAATCGTCTGCTTCTTTGTCCTTTTATTGTCAAATAAGTGCTTTCCGCTTGTCCCTTAAACGAGAACAGCAACCACGAGTTGTCTTTGGGGATCTACTGTTGATATTGGCAGGTGGAGCTGCGCGACCAAATCGTTTTAATCTAGCTACCTACAGGTAGCTTTAATAGTAGAATGCATTCCACCGCCCATTCACCAAAACTAGAAAGTTCTTGTTCTTATCGTGCATCTTCTATTTTTTATCGTCTTGGTGGCCGTTGGCGCATGGCATGATGCGTAGTCATTAAAGCAGGTGAAGCGGCGGCATGAGACGAAAGCGGAGAAAACTAAAGGTTTTTCAAGTAGAGGTCCGTCTATGTGCCTGAACTAACGTTTCTTGCTTCCACTGATGCTGCCGCGCCATCTTTATTTTCTTGCCGTAGCAATGTCGTCCAACGGTCCCGGTGGATGAGGTGAAGGCGGCCTTTTCATGCCTAGCGACCAAAGCCTTTTTTACGATTCAGAACAGAGGCCTCGGCCAGCTTGGTCTGCCGTAGCCGGCTGGACTTCAACTGAACTAAAAGAAGGGGGATTCCTGAAATAGGGACAAAGACAGGTTTGGCTTGACTTTGCCGTCCCGGAGCCGTCGAACGTGGATGGGGCGGTCAATCCATCAGTCCGTTGGCGCCTAACTCTTCCTTCTGAAAAGGACGCTGTCGAAGGGTAGTTCAACATTTCTGCTATCACAGGACCGAGCCTCTCCATGCTCCAACTTCTGTTGATGTTATTGGTACTATAGACGGCTTTTCTTTTTTCGTTCCGAGCTAAATCGTCGAAATGGCGGTCAAAAAACCTACGTTAGAAATACATGCGTTCGATATTTTTACACAAAACGGAAGCACCGCTTCATTCAGCCACCCTAGTCGCGCACTAATAAATCGTGAGCGAAGAAATAATACCAGCATGTTAGCAGCTATCAGAAGCTTCGAATGAGGAACTCCAAGCAACTACTGCCTCTTTTCCGCCATAAAATAGGCCCTTCATTGCGATTTTCAAAATCATAAGATCATCAACCGAGAACTGCGTCTGTCGCAGCCTGCTGTAATCGTTTACGTTTTCGTTATATTTTAGTCGTAAAACTGGTGGTCTTTAAAAGGAAGGTAGCCTGATATCTGGTTATAGGAAATTGCCACTCTTCCAAACGGCTTTCATCGACAAATTTATAAATAATCTCACATGTGACATGCATTTACTATTAATGTCATGAATTTCCATTTTCGCTAGATATTCTTTCTGTTTACGCCGATCAGATACCACTGTATAGCTCCAATATGGAGGTAATAAAACAGAAAACAATATCTTTCCTCTCTCAACAAATACTACATAAATCTACATTTTTTTTTATCCATGTCCCAGTATTTCCACAGCTTTCTCCCTGAAGGATCTTTTTGCTCCGCGGACCATGCCGGCGATAGAAAGCCGCCTTGTTATTATGTAGCTTGCTCTAGCGACCTGCTTCTTCTCTGTTTTCTGCCTCCGTTTTTCCTATTACTATTTCGAGCCCCTTATCATCGAAAAGCCGCTATATGACAGACGGCCGCCCTTTTCTGGAAAAATAGCGCCTGTTATAGACAGTCTTGTCTGGCCTGGGGAAAGAGCGGCGTACCGGTAGTAGTAGGTAACCTATGGTGGTGGTGTAGTCTAAAAGCTGTACAAGAAGTAAATTTGCTTAAACAGGCACGAAAAGAAACGTGCGACGCGTACATCTGTCAGCTTTCGGAGACATGCAGAAGGCCAGAAACATCCTATAGCACATCTCCTCTCGTACGCTCAGCCATTGATCCATACGTACGAATGTATACGCGCACTAAGATATGTACACAAAAAGCGTGCCTGTGGCAGTCGCGATGGAGAGTGTCGCTGATTGAAAAGTCGCTTTTCCCCAAACACACCGACAGCATTAGTATGCATCCGCGTCCTCCAATGCTGCTATCGTTGACGTCGCTTGCGCCGTACCCAGTTTGAGGCGGTGCTATTGGCTTTATCTCTACGGTTCAACCCAAACATACCAAAATAGAGTTTATGTGATTGTGCGATGTACAGGGCCAGCCGATACAGAGAATATGGCCGGCCGAAAACTACCTCGCACAGATTGCAGTCTGATTGAGCTGGCACGTTCCGAATTTTACCGAACCAGCCGGCAGCACCCAGCCTTCCTACCAGCGATTCCTCAATGCGGTTGCCAATCGGTTCTATTTTGATTTACCACCGTTCCTACTATCAGAAACACTACGTCCATTTATCCTCTGCCCTCATTCCCATGATAATATGGCAACTGTGCCATATTGATTTTTCGCAAATGAACACCCATGATAAGCGGATCGGCATCGTCATACTATTGCAGTACACCTGACTCAGAAGCAGAATGGGATCTAACCATTATCACTGGCGAGCAACAGAGCTTGGATTGAACAACGGAACTGGTCGGACAGTGGTCACCGTACAGACGGAGAGTGCCGTAAAAGTGCTCACTGCTGACACTCTACCTCCAGCTCCTCCTGAGATTGCAGCGAATAGCGTCATCGGCTGCATCAGCAAAACCTGCAGGTCAAAAAGTAACATCAGCATCGCCTGGTACAGCAGCAGCGGCAGCAAGAATCGTTAACATGGGGCCCCGTCCCGTTTTCTCAGAACGAAAACACGGGCACATGGTCGTCGCCGTCTCCACCTGCATCCGCACCCGTCACAAGTACGGAATAACACTTGTGCCCACCTGCACTGCACAGATGCCGAGATGGGAAAAATTAAAATGCTGTTCGTCGGCTCAGCGCCTCAGGACCCAATGGCTAGAACCAGCATTGTAGTAAGAGCCACTAACATACAAACACGACTGTTCGTGAGGCAGGCCACCGGCTGAGACGAAGGAAAGTGGCATTTATGTGAAGGACCAGGGAAACGGGGCAACATGTCGTTTCCTTTAACGCTTTCTGCCCTCCAGTTCCTCATCAGCTTCTTTTCTGTCTTGTGTCCTGCTAGATACATTAACATAATCCCCTCATAGGAAACATGCGATGACATGAGTGCCTACTGCGTTCGCTTCGTTGCATTACATAGTTTTCGCGTCATCCAATAAACATTGTGGTCTACGAGTAACATACATATGTAACTACGGCATTAATAATTCAATGGAATGCTAGTATAACTTCTTAAGAAAGCACAGTTCTTTTACCAAACCAATAATACAATGTGTTCCTTTGCTCGATAAAAATTCACTTGGTTGTATCAGATATGCACATTGATTTTAATGTTATTTATAATAACGTAACGTAGTACGTAAGTGTTCCTCGACAAATGAGTATATATAATGTTATTTTCATGCTTACGAACATACTATATGTACTATACAGACAGTTTGAAAATGGATTCTGTTTATGTTATATACCTGTCAAGTAGTTTTTTTGTGCATGTATATACATATATATATATATGATGCATACAGATGTATCATTTACGTATCTCCATGTATGGTACGTCAGTGTTAACATAGCCGGCAAGTGTGTACACGTGAAAATATTTTTGTCTGTTATTCTGTGGTGGTTTGTAAATAGCGTCGTCTTCGTGGACGTCACCTTTTTCTAGCCTAGTCTAGACTACACGATTGTACTCACCCTGGAGTCGAGAATGGGCTCGTAAGAGGGCTGCATCATGGCCCCGACGCCGATATTCGCTGCTGATCGAAACCTGTGTGCTAGCAGCGAGGTCTGATATCGCGTGTACCAATTCAGGGCGCCTGCTGGACCGGCCGGGGCCTCGTGGTGAGTGGCGTATTCACCTCGGTGTGGTCGTCTTGACCCTGTCGCCACAATCCGGGTCAGTTCTCACTGGGCACACCACCAATAGTCCGCATCGCCGGTGATAATCACGCACTCACAATCACTGGTAGTCCAGTCCCCCTTGTTGTCTTCTTCCTGTGGAAGACAGTCCAATTGATTTCTATTTTTTTTGTTTATTTCTCTTTCTTCCTTTATCCTGCCAATTGAATCGTCGTTCGATTTATACTAGCGATAAACGAAGATCTAATAGTGACTAGCACTGCATTACTGGATTTTTACGGTGGCGGTAAACCCGTTGTCGAGGCGTGACGAGACGATGGTGCTGCTGCCTGAGCAACAGCGCCAGCGACGGCTTTCTAATATCGTTGTTGTTTCAACCTGCAGATTTGTTGGGTCGGCGTACGAGTAATGCGGTTCTCAGGTGTTTACTATATTAACTAGACCACTGTCGCTGTTTTTATTAGCATTGCATCAGAAGTTGTTACGATATCTTCATTATTCCCGAACCAGAAACGAGACGACACTACGACAGCAACGGACAATAGCTTGAGAGGCGAATATCAATTGAAATGAGGTTTTCTATCTGATATAAATATACATAACCTTTTCTCGGTCTTTTATGACTTCGTTTTCCTTTTAGCGATGCCTGCCTCCAGTATATATATATATATATATACACACACACATATATATATATATCGATATATAAGGTCTTTTTTCTTCAGATTCCCATTCGTCCTGTAGCTCAGTTCAGGTCGTTCCGCACTCAGTTTATTCTGTGTCGTCGCCGTGGTAGGTTTGTTCGACAACAACACTGCTGCTTCGAAGGTTTGTCTTCCTTCTTCTGTTTTCGTTCGTATTAGTATCATCAATCGTAATAGAAGCGTATAATCGCCCCTTTGCCTGTCCGTATTCTTGACCAGGTCGGTAGTGGGCGGTGAACTTATTTGGGCGTTTAGCGGAAACGGCGACTTCATCTGCTGCTTCCTCTTTTTTATGAACCGGCTTCATTACATTGTCGGCTACCGTCTTGAGGTCCTACTTTCCATCGTGCTTTTTTGTCGTGTTTTTTTTTTGTTATTGTCCGTAGTTATTGTTGTTATTCCTGTCGCTATTGCCGTTGCTTCTGCGCTGTTTTTCTTTTGTCGACTTTCACTACGCGGGCGCCGTCAGCGTTAAGGGTGCGTAACGCCCCCTACCTTCTCCTGGTAAATATCGGCGTTTGCGCCTTCGCCTTGTTTTCTATACAGACCTATTTACGACTCTCTCGCACACTCGCACACGGACACACAACAGTTGGTTATATTAGCGCGGCTTCGTAATGATGCTGGCCGTTGTCCTAGCGCCAAGGCTCCTCTGAACGATATCGGGTTTTCGTGCGTGGTCCACTCATACTTGCACTCCTCACACGAGCTGTTGCTGGAGCGCTATGGAAGCCCTCATTCGATTACGCTGCCGTCCTGGTTGTCGTTCTCGCCATCTCTCCGCAGAGCATCCGTACGATGATGGATAAACCATGCACCGGGCCGTTCGACCTGTTCCTTCACCGCTAGCACCGACACAATTTATACTCCTCAGCAAATTCAGTGCGTTGGCTAGTTTAAGCGCACTATAAATAATCTGTTATCATCTTCGGTTCGGTGCGGTCCCATGCGATACCAAGGGCGGCACTTGTCCTGCTGCTAACATTGAGCGCTGGTGGTTGGTGGGCCTGCCCCTAACGTCTCCTTCGTGGCAGATGGCCACTACTGGCGGCCGCAGCTGGCGTGTGGTTGCCACCGATGCTGCAGCAGTAGTCAGTATTTGCAAGTGTTGCGATCTTTCAGTATTCTCCTGGTAGCCTATATAGCTGCTTGCGGGTCGATCAGTTGGTCGAGGTGCCGGCTGGGTGAGGATTGCTTCTTTTTGTTTCACTGCCCAACAGCACAATCTGGCTTGATAACTTGCTAGTTATATCTTACTTATTATTATTATCATCATCGTAATCTCACTGTCGTACACGTTTTTTTTTTCTTGCTTTTTATCTGTCGAACACTGATACGTAGAGCTGCTATTACTATCAATCAAGTGGCTAGTAATACGTTTAGTAGATTTAATTATTTACTTGATTGACAACATGAACAAGTCTCACTGAAGTTCGAAAATGCACTGCCACACTACCGTTAGTAACAATAGTACGTTGGTTCGACGGGGTATGTTTCGATGGGGTTTGGCGATTAGTTGATCTCGTCTCGAAAATGTTCGGCGTATGGGGTTTTTTCAACGCTTTCCATGTTTTTCGTATAGATATAGATTATTATATATATTTCTTCCATAGTTGTATATGTTTTTTGTATATATGTACGTGTGTGCGTGTGTGTGTGTGTGTGTGTGTGTGTGTGTGTGTGTGTGTGTTTGTGTGTAATAAACAACACGATCGTCGAAGTAATAGCAGTAGCTCGGTTTGTCCGTTCGTTTCACCGGTTTATTTTTTGTTACTTAATCTATTTACGTCTTGCTCTTTCTTCACGAGTGGCCTATTGGCACACCTTGCAATGTAGTGCGTACTCTATTATTTATATTAATTGTTGTTGTCAGAATCATGTCGTCGGGGTTTGTCGTTTGGCGCTCACTCTCATAGACACACATATATACACTCCCATCGACTTCGGTGTATATGTAGAATGCGATACGTTTTCTCTCATCTGCGGCTTTCGCTCCGTTCGTTTTTCTTACACGTACTGCTGCTAGATTTCTTCGATAATTAGAGTCCTTCGTAATTGTCCACGGAAAAGGTTGTTGATGAATACTTTAAACGGGATGCATTACGTCTTGACGATTATATGGTTTTTATCATTATTTTTGTTACTGTTGGTAGTAGTACGAGCAATGGGAATAAGTATAGCAGTAGTTGAAGTAGCTATAATAGCTATAGTCAATATGATCCTATTATCAGTAGCTGTACAACCTGCAGTAGTAGTATACATGACGCTCGAGCTGAAGATCTGCACGGAGTCTTCTTTTCTTCGTCTTGTTGTTGTTGTTGTTGTTGGTTGAGATCCTAATAGATGTAGTACCAGTTGTTGCTTCGGTAATATTCGTATCAAATTGGTTGATTGGACAGTTGCTGCGTTGCGTTTACTGGTGACGACGGTGGTAATGGCATCTTCTCTGTTACGCGGTCTACCTTACCCTCCTTCATATGCATGTTATTATTTGCTATATTCTTGTTGGTGTAGCTAGTTGTTGTGGTTACTGGCAAAAACTTATGCGAGGCAGGAAGGTACTGTTTCGTGCTGCTATATCAAGCCGATTGGTTGGAAGGGCAGTTGACACTGCTGTAGTAGTTGTTCAATCTGCCGTTTTGCTGTCTCAAATTTTTCCTCTGTTTCTTTACTTTTCTAATATGACCGGACCCCCTCTATTTTCACCGTCTTCATCTCTCAATCAGCCAATGTGGGTAATCGTGACGCCGACTGGATAATTAACAACGCACCGCGTACCAACAAGTATCGTATCATACTGGTGCAAGTTTAATGTTTGCTATAGCTGCGTAATAAAGAATTGTCATCTTTATGAGTCATCGGCATTATCCTATACTGCCGATGCCAACAAGCGTCAAATTACGTCAAACGGACGCAACGGGTCAACACAGCGTACTCTTTCCGTCCATTCATCTTCTACCCTGTCACATATACGTATATATATATATACATATATCTATCTATATGATGTTGAACAGTGTTAGATGTGTTGCGGTATCACGCAGTACGAGATCATCACTGCTGTTACCATCGAAGACTTTCACATATTCAGCCGATTCGTCACTTTGCTTGCTATCATTCTGCAGCCGCTACCACTCTCGTTGGCAATACCATCATTTAAATGATCGTGCTTGTCGTCACCATTGGCAGACATAGATAATACCGGCATTTTCTGATCTGTTACACGATTATTGAACGGTGAGATAGATCAGCGGCTCCGCAGTCGCTAACTTCTATTATGATTAAATTACGAACGGTAAAACAAGAGCTTCTCGCTTATTCGTTTCGTTGTTTACGCACGCGCGACTACCCGCCCAACGCACATATGATTTGTCTCGTGACACGAGCTTTCTGTTTTTTTCTTCGACGATGCCAGATAAAGGCAAATATATATATATATATTGTTAGAGGAAGTAATAAAGGTAGCTAGTACAATACGAGCGAAGCTGGATGACGTGTTCGTATTTTGTTTCGCCGGGTCTCGCTCTCGTCGTATCGAATCGATTAGCGTTTTTGTTATGTGCCTATTTCACAGATTTCTTTGGTTGCTGTAGGTTGGAAGGACATGATCACTGCAGGTTTTTTTCGCGCTCCTAGATTACGCGCGTTTGTCTATATTTGAATTGTGGCGTTTTCGGTTTCTTCTTGTACGATGATTTCATTTCCTGTATCCGTGACTATGTTTGTTTTCGTTTAGAGAAGGAGAGAAGGAAAACAGGGATCGACGTGATGATTCTTGTGCAGCACGAGCTGTTGTCATGTGTTCACTTAACACCCCTGTGGGCTGGTTGTCTTTCCCTGGGCTTGTTCTTCTTCCTTATGGGCAGCAGTCACAACCACAGCTTATGCAGCGTCCCCCATAGACGAATGGCTTCACGTCCGGTGCACGCTGTCTGACGATATTACTCTCGTACATCATCATGCTACTTGCAATAACATTGGTACAACGAATGAGCAAGTTTCTTGTGTCGCTGCTGTTTCGTAGAGTGGCCATGCCATGGCTAGCTTTACACGTTGACGTGTAGCACGTTTTCCTGCACGATTCCGCGTCTGCTGCTACGGCTGCACCCAGTCTTCTTTTTATTGTCGATGTCCTCAGGTTTTTTTCGCTCGCACCACGACTGTTCGTGCTACGTCTTCCTTTCTCGTTGTTGCTGTTGTTGTTATTGTTGCTACTGCTGCTGCTGCTGCTGCTGCTGCTGCTGTAACTGCTGTTAACGGTTTTGCCGATATTTCCACTGCTGTCGTTCTTGCTTCTATTGCCGCTTTTGCAGTGTCTACTGTTTATCGTTCTGTCGCCGTCTTTGACGGCTGACATGGCCTGCCCAGGATGAAACAACCAGCAGTCAAGCTGCTGCCCACGTCGCTGCCGACTTGACGCGCCACTACTGGCTCCGCTGCCGATGCTGCTGATCGGGGCAACAACTTGACTTCGACGGCTGGCGGACAATGCCGCTCGACAGTGCCAGTCTAGCCAAATTAACTAAACGGCTACTGTCGTTATTATCTGCTTGAAGGCAGGCGACACTGCTGCCAAAGCTGTCACTGGTACGGCTAGCCGCCAAAGGGTGTACTGCCCTACAGTGTCGTGGCTTCGAATGAGGGCCAACACCTGGCTCTCGCGCGCATTGAAAGATGGTGGAGCCTGGAGGCCCGAGCAGAGCTGCGGGAGCAGAGGGGCGTTGAGGAGCGCCGAGGGCCAGGCGCTCACAGCGCCACCAGTTAGGAGCAGAAGGACCAACGCGGCACCAGCCGCTACCGCCGCTGCTGGTGCTGCTGCTACCGCACACGAACGTTGGGGCAAACGAGCATTGCAGCATGGGACACGACAGCGGAGAGTGCGAGAGTAAATCCTCGTGCGCGAGGCGAAAAACGGTGCGAAAGGGAAGGGCGAACCACAGCAGCGGCAACGCTAGAGATTCCAGTGCCAGGACCAGCGGTCGTGGTGATAGTTGTCGTGTGGTGGTAGTAGCGACGGCGGGTGAGCGGCGGGCAGACCACGATCTTCCCTCAGCTTCTGGCTCAAGCAAACAGGCAGAGAAGCAGTGGGAAGCTGATAGTAGCGGCTGCAGCGGAGAGCAGACCTTCTTTCCGAGGAACAGTCGATGGACATATAAAGCAATGGCTGGCCCTCTCCACTTCAAAGCGTACACACGACGCACTTGAAGATGATAGAGCAGACACGACGTGTTGGTACACGCAGAAGCCAGCAGACAGGCGATCTGCGAGCCCAACGGACGATGGAGAGAGAAAACACGGACAAAGGGAAGGAGGCCAAGAGAGCGAAGAAAAAAGCGGAGAAGTTCTTACGGAAGCAGGAAGACCCTTCGACACTGCGAAAAGAGAGAGCCAGCCACCTACCCACTCGCTATCGAAATGGCCCATAGGGGGCAATGGCAAAGGCAGTCGTCGTGCGGCAGCCTTTAACGAGTTACTCATACCGACGACACAAGGACACCAGCTCAACGAAAGGTGGTCTGAGGGTGAAGCGGAATGTTATCGTCGGCTTCACAGCGGCATTTTCGTGTTGTGGCATTACTTTTAACGATGGCGCTGACGATCTCGGCGGTAAGAATAACTACAAAGGGCAACTGCGAGACCTATAATAGCACAATATTGCTACAATGCATTGAGCGGTACTTCGCACATTTAGTAACTGTGTCAAGCTGGCGGCAAACGACTGGTTCTTCAAGTGTCGTGAAGTTGGTACTGATCGCAATGTATATACATAGCAGGCATCGTAAGGACGTAATGCACAAGCTTTTGCATACGTTAACTAGAAGGACCGAAATCTACGGTAATAATCTGTTGAATATTACTTTTGACAATTTTGTATCGAATGATAAGGCAAATTACTGATTATTGCAAAGTGATATTGTTGTGGATTTGAATATGTTGCTTATTAAGTTGATTTAGTTCGGTAATTGAGTTATATATATATATACATATATATATATATATATATATATATATATATATATATATAGAGAGAGAGAGAGAGAGAGAGAGAGTTATACAGGCGCTCTTTGGTCCTGTCACTCATGTTAACGTAAATAAATATCTATTTTTAAACTTGCATGTATATAAAACCTATTGTAGTCGAAATATCGTGAGGAAGAGACGTATGGGTTTGCTATTCACGTCACTGTTTCTCGACGACCACCTGCGAACATTGCAATAAGGGACCATACCCAATTGTGGGAAAGAGCCTTTGACGGCGAGAGTCCGCGTACGGAGAGGAACCCAACCCAATGACGAGACGGTGTAAGACTGCAATACACAGTGCACGACGATGTCTAGACATAGCCCACAACGCAGCGTTATCTATCGCGCACAGAGCTCAGCAGCACGACCACAGCCACATCGAAACAGAAAATGCATTCTGTAATCTGACTTCGGTAAGAATTCCAAACGGCGCTCATAGACAAGCGAAAACATATTACCAACCAACCGTCGACACTAGCCCTCTTTCCCGTTTTCGATTTTCGTCAACAAACCAAGGTCGAAGTCATCCTTCAAGGCGGAAAGTAACCTTATAAAGGGTATGCTAGAAGCTCTGCGATCTACTTATTGTACG